TCATAAAAAATTGTGCACGGCAAAATTAACTTCTTTAAAAAAGAAAAAAGCTGTAAAATTCCTTTTTTTTTTTTCAACATAATATTTTCTTTTATTTCCCTCGTAATGGCTTTCCATTGAACCCGTTGATGAATTTCTTCCTAAAACGCCCAATTCTTTCCGAACTGTGTCATGTCATGACCATAAGGATTAAATCGTTTTACAATATAAGTGAATTCCTTGTGAAAAGAAAGCTTTGCCATTTCTTTGTTTGGCAGATGTTTGAACAAAGCAAACACAAAAAGGAAAGTAGAATAAAACCAAAGAAAATCCATGATTGATTAAAATTAATCTTTAAACCAAACGTGAGCAAAGGTCATTTTGTGATACGCTCTACCCGAAGACACCCAGCGCTTGCAATCATCCTTAAACATTTTTTATTGGTTCTCTTTATTCCCTCGTATTTTGTGGTTGGCCGTTAGCCCAGGACGTTACTTGCATTTATGATCAGATGGAATTGTGTGTAGAGTGAAAAGTGCTCAAGAAGAACTAAGGGAAGAGGCAAAGATTACAGAAATGTATTATAAAATTTGTACAATAACCAAAGTTGGCGCAAAGCTGTAAAGTCAAAAGAGTATTGCAGGGGAGTTTAACACAAGCTTACAGTGATTATGTGAATGAATGTGAAAAAATGAAAAATGTTGGAAATCTTATGGTATTCCACACACCATTACTTTATTAGAACACAAATTGGTATAGACAAATAAACGCCAAAACTTTTTTAGAAACTCGTGAAAGCGAAATTAATTATATCCGATAGGGGATTGTGGCTATTTTTAAATAGAATTTAAAGGGGTCTCAAAGACCAAGGCATCAAAAAATATGTTGATAACAAAATTGCTTTCTCTAATTGCTCTGACGGCTTCTAGATGTAAGACGGTCTGGAAACTTTTTTCGTCAAAGGGTAAGTGTTTTCTTGTTTCTGGGACTCGTAATGGCATCTTGTTGAAATTAAACGATGTCCATATTATCTGTGTCAATCCATGAAACGGGCAGGTGACATTTATCTCCCTTAACTCTCTCTCTCTCTCTTAATATCTGGACAACCAGATCAACACCAACCATAAAAATCATTAATCACCTTTAAATATCGTTGTTGATCCTCAATTTTGAAAATGGGAGGCCTACCCGCAACAAACCGCCAAACAATAACTCTTGGGTTTTTCGAACTGCAGACGCAACAATTTAGCTTGTTGACGTAGACAGCGAAGTAGAAATGGGTCTCGTCACAGTTGTTGATAATTGTCCGGATTGAGTTCCTGTCTTAATTGAAATTCATAAAATTGTATACATTTTTATACCCCCATAACAAAACTGCAACAAAGTCAATTTTATTGAATGAAAGCAAAACAAAATGAAGGAAATAGCATGACATTTTAGAATAAGTTTAGATTTGTTCGAATTGGTCATCTTTGTCACGAATTATGGCCTTTAAACGGCCAATATAACCGTCACACGCTGCCCGAATGTTGCCCTGCGGTATTTTGGCCAATTCCCGGCGAAGCGCTTGAGGTGATCGACTCTTTGGTATTTTTATACCCTCCACCTTGGACAGGAGGGTATATTAACTTTGTCATTTCGTTTGTAACATCCTTAAATATTCGTCGTAGACCCCATAAAGTACATATATTCATAATCAGGATAAAAGATTTAACGATGTCCGTCTGTCTGTTAAAATCACGATACAGCCCACATTATTTGACGTAGAACGCCAAAATCAGAGCAATTTGTATTGGGTTGGTATTGAAAATGAGATATATCGGTCCACGTTCTGGCATAGTCCCCATATAACGGTACCTCCCGATATTCGGTATTTTGATGATTTACGCCACATTTTTTTACTGATTTGTTTGAAAATTGGTATATGTAGGTCATAACGGGTCCCTGTGCGTGTGGCAAAACATGGCATGTATAGGTTTACGTTAAAGGTACCTCCCGATATTCGGTATTTTGGTGATTTTTGACACATTTTTTCACGAATTTCTCTGAAAATTGGTAGTTGTAGATCATAATGGGTCCCAGTTCGTGTGGCGAGTCATTGAAATTATAGTTCCACGTTTTGGTATAGCCCCCATATATTGGTACCTCCCGGTATTCAGTAATTTGAAAATTGGTATTTCTAGGTCATAATGGGTTCTAGCTCCGGCCGAACTTAATGTTTTTTTACTTGTTTAGTGCCTACCTTGCTTTCCAAAACACTCCAGACACAATAGTCCAACGGATTGGAATCCGGAGATTTTGGTGGACATTGTGCGCTGGAAATGAAGCGAGGGCTTGGGTGGCGCGTGCTGAGTGCGATGCTGCTGAGTCCTGTTGGAATGTCCAAGGTCTGCGGCTAAAATGTTTGCTTGCCCAAGACTTTAATACACCCTCCAGAATATTTTCGCCATAATATTCGGCATTTATTCTGATGCCCCAGTCGATTAATACGAGCGGAGAGCGACTATCGCTGTTATAGCGGTCCACATCATCACCATGGCCGGCGCCTGATTTCTGGTGGCCAACCGAAGGTGCACATTTTCAGCTGACCTCTTTGGCAAGTAAACACGATTATTTTGTCTGTTTACGAACTGGTGGACAACGAATGTTTTCTCATCGGAGAAACCCAAATTCGGCAGTCCACCACTTTCGGCCATTTAAATGCTGGAGTGCTGGCTTTAATACACCCTCCATAATATTTTCGCGATAATATTCAGCATTTATTCTGATGTCACGGTAGATTAATAGGAGCGGAGAGCTGTGGAGTGCTGGCTTCAATATTTTCGCGATAATATTCTGCATTCAGAATAAATGCCACGGTCGATTAATAGGAGCGGAGAGCTGTGGAGTGCTGGCTTTAATACACCCTCCATAATATTTTCGCGATAATATTCAGCATTTATTCTGATGTCACGGTAGATTAATAGGAGCGGAGAGCTGTGGAGTGCTGGCTTTAATACACCCTCCATAATATTTTCGCGATAATATTCTGCATTCAGAATAAATGCCACGGTCGATTAATACGAACGGAGAGCGACTATCGCTGTTATGGCGACCCACATCATCACCGTGGCCGGCGCCTGAGTTCTGGTGGCCAACCGAAGGTGCACATTTTCAGCTGACCTCTTTGGCAAGTAAACACGATCTATTTGTCTGTTTACGAACTGGTGGACAACGAATGTTTTCTCATCGGAGAAAAACAAAATCGGCAATTCACCACTTTCGGCTATTTAAATGCTGGAGTTCTGTAACGATAGCCACTTGTGGTTTTCCAGCCAAATATAAAGAAATCTCAGTATCACGCTTGAATTCCATCACGAATAATTTTTTTTCTGGAAAATTCTCACGAAAATTCTTTTGTACGCTTGTAAACAATACAATAAGCTGTCACTGGAATAATTTTAACAGCTGCCGGCCCAGTGGCTTCGAAATGGCAGCAGTCTGAAGTTGGTTGTAGTTTTTTCATCTCATCCTGTATAGTGCGAGTTTTGACACATCCATCATACAGGGTTGCCCATATTCGTCGGACCCATCTGGCAACGCCATAACTTTTGACAGAGATGTCACATCGCTTAATGACATACCGCGTTTGAAGCGTCAGTCCAAGCAGATTTTTACCATGAACCAATACACGCCACGCGAGCGCTCTGAAATAGTTGAAATTTACATTCAACAGAAAAAGTCAATTGTGAAAACTCAACGTGCTTTTAAAACATTAAAAAAATGTGAGAAGTGCGCCTTCTAAGAACACCATTAAGCGTTTATATGAAAAATTTTCGACTGGTAAGGCTCTTTCTAATCCGAAGAGGCCATTTAAAAGTCGACCAAGGCGATCGGTCGAGAATATCGCTGCCGTACGAGCCAGTGTTGAGACGTCCCCAAGAACATCCCAAAAACGCCGTTCTCAGCAGTTGGGCATGGCTCGGTCCACTTTATAACGGATTATACGCATTGATTTGCATTTGTTCCGTACAAAATTCAATTGACGCAAAGAATGTTGCCTGCGGACAAGCCTCGTCGATTGAAATGGGCCCAAAGGGCCCAAAGGTCCGTCGAATATGGGCAACCCTGTACACTCATTTATTAACCCTCATCTCAAGTTTAAGAGTTCTAGCTGTACTGGCTCCTAAAATACCAGGGGTAGCATATTTAGTATCTTTTAGTACTTTTCGTATCGTTCTAGTACGAATTTCCAAAAACGGAACGTTTTGTGATATTCGGACCTAAGTTCATATCTGAATACATATTTCATCTGTCCTGTGATAGACGAAGTTAATAGATTGTTATGAGAGTTATAACTTTTCAAAACATTTAATCTTTGCGGGTGAAGTACAGCAAGGAGTGGACCGAATTCGATCTGAGTTTGATCCAAATATTACCATGCACCAAGTTTGGACCAGATCGAAATCTTGAGAATTGTCGTGCGTACAGACAGAACACACTACACAGACGAACGGACATCGGTAGATCGATTCCAAATGTCCTGTAATGGATTTCGTCCAAAGAGACCTAGGATCTAAATCTTCCGATGATCTTCAAATGTTATTGTAGCTTTATCTCACACTTACAGAGAATTTTTCTATAACCAAAATATTATTAAATTAGAGAGTTGCTTCATTTTGAAAGAGAGTGTAAGAAACAAGTTTTTTCACACATTGTTACACAATTCGAAGTTGAATGGATTCCGGGTGGTGGTTGAAAACATTTTAACAAGCAAAATGCTGCGCATTGTATTGAAAATCCGGGAAATCAAAGCAAATTGCCATCTTGTTCGTTTTTTTTTCTGAAATAACAGCATTGTTTCTAGGAATCTGTCAAAAACTTTAGTCTTCATTTCTTGATAGACATTGGTTCCTTTTGGAGTTTTTTTTTTTTTTTTTTTTTTTTTTTGTTTTCCGTTTAACAAATACAACCTTTTTTAGAGATTCTGTTTTTATTAGAGATTTCTAACTTTTTCGTATTTTGTTTTTATTACTTTCTAGCCTCTACTGTTATGCCCAGAAGCACGTGAAATCCATCAAAGCTGTTACCCGGCCTGGCGAAGTGGCCGAAAAGCAACGTTACAAAAGTATACGACGAACTAAACCACCAGAGAAGAAAAAATTCAAAGTCCGCAATCTGAATCACAGCTCACCCTATCATGTGTCGGACCACAAGGCCGCCGTTACGGTGGGTGTTATAATGGGTGTGTTCCTTATCTGCTGGGTGCCGTTCTTTTGTGTGAATATTGTGGCGGCCTTCTGCAAAACGTGCATAGGTGGTCAAACCTTTAAGATACTCTCATGGTTGGGTTACTCCAATTCCGCATTTAATCCCATTATCTATTCAATCTTCAATAAAGAGTTTCGTGATGCATTCAAACGAATTCTGACCACACGAAATCCCTGGTGTTGCAATCAGGACATTGGCAACATACATCCCCGCAACAGTGATCGTTTTGTAACGGATTATGCGGCCAAACATGTTGTGGCCATGAATTCGGGACGATCTTCGGCGGAATTGGAACAGGTGTCTGCAATATGACCAAAACGCAATAGTAGCAATGCTAGTCATGAGTATTCGACAACATTGGCGTGTTGCGTGTCGAGAGCATCGGATGCGGCCTCGTTGACGATAACACCATATGGACCCTGAGATTCGGTGACAGTGGCGTCTGCAACAATTGTCGTAGAGTCACTGGATAGAGGCAACAAGTATGGTGATAATAAACAAATGGAAACAGTATTGGTTTAGAAAAAAAAAAAAGAAAACTATTAAAAAGTAGTCATAAGACAACAACAAAGAACGACAACTACAACAACCACAAAATGAATCTTACGGAAAAGACAGGATATCATGGAAACAGAGCAATAGCAACATATTCATCATCCATATCACAAACACTCTCTCTCACTTCATATCATCTTCGTCCTCATAAGATATCTTCGAACTAAAGGAGAATAGTTTTCAAGGTCTTCACACAACCACAAGAACATCAACAACAACCACGTTAAGTAACTGGATTACAGGGTGAGCGTTAAACAAATCATTTCCTTACATGATATAATACATACGTATATGTATAAGTAGTTAATTAATTTAAACAATACACATATATATATATATATATATATATATATATATATATATATATATATATATATAAATGACAAAAATGGAAAAAGTAATTATTTTAAGGACGGAAAATGTAATAAAAACAAAATTTACCATATCCTTGATAAACTAATTCCAAATCCAATTAAAAAAAAATAATGATAAATATCCCCTCCCCTTCCCGCCCTCTCCTCTCCCATTTCTTCTTAAGTTCCTATCAAACCAAACCAAAGAAAAAAAGAACAAATTAGCAATACTCACTCAATTAATGTTAGCTTTAATCTAAGCATAGTCCTGACATCAAATTGTAAATGATTTAAGGAAAAGAAGTGGAATAAGAAAAAAACAAACGTAAAATTCATTCAGTCTCTATTTTTTGTATATACAAGCAATGTAAGATAATTAGTTTATTTGTATTTACCCCTTTCGGATGTGTATGTTTAGTGTTGCCAATTTTGTACTGTTTCCCATTTTCTAATAGACATGGGTTAGTGAGTCTTTCGTATTGGGGACGGGTTGTTTGGATATCAAACCCATATTGAAAAAAGCAGGCGGCTGCTCGTGTACCTTAAAATGTATTATATATCCGAAAACTAATTAGGACGCTACTAGAAATATTGCCAAGACGACCTACGATTGTATTTTCAAGATTTTTATATGAATGTATCGAAGCGTTTTTAATTCGTTGAAGCATGTCTTGATATTTTTTCCGCTGTGCCTTTTGTGCAGGGAATAGTCTCATACATCTGTTTGCCATTTCTGTAGTTATTTTTTAGGATGACATGGTTTTTTTATCAAATCTATAGAGATTTTTTATACGTATTTTTTGTCAAAATTTTCAAATTCATTCAAAATTTTTTACGCCAAAAATGTAGTTAGAAAATTCCAGATATTGTTCTCACGGACAAGAGATTTATATTTGCTGTGATTGAGAGCCTGCTTTTAATTTTTATGCGAGCCTTGTCAAATAGACATAATTCAATTTCAAATATGCCGGTTGAACAATTATTTCTGTAACAACATGTATTTTTGAAAACAATTTAAACTTTTAAACCCGAGTTTCCAATTGCTAGAACCATTTTTTAATCCGGTAATAAAATGCGATTGAAGCTATATTTACACCACAATGAAAACTGTCATAATATTGAAAAGTATCCGACATTTACCATTTCAATAACATGAATATTCTCTCATAGCTTAAATGTACGATTTATTTATCCTTACGTCACAATATATTTTCTATAGCACTTATATCTTCAAAAATGTCATGAAATATAATAAACAAGCAAAAAGCGTCAAGTCCGGCTCGGTCGTATTTTAATGCATGGAGGGTATTAAGGAGGGTAAATTAAGTTCGTCATTCCGTTTGTAACTCCTCGAAATAATAATTTTAGACCCAACAAAGTGTGTATATTCATGATCAGCGTAAAATTCTAAGACGAGTCCGTCCGTCTGTTGTAATCACGCTACAGTCAAAACGAATTAAGATAGGAAGCTAAAATTTTGCACAGATCTGTCTTTTGTCTGCAGGCAGGTCAAGTTCGAAGATAAGCTATGTCGGTCCATAGCCCCCATATTACGGTACCCCCTATATTCGGCCTTAAACAAAAGCAAGGAAATCTATATTTCCTTTCTACCCTGAAAGCTATTAATAGAAGTGAAAAATTTAGTTATTAGATTAAATTAAGGTATGATTTTCAGTTATCCTTAACCACATAACACAATACCAAAAACTCATATCGAAACCAAACCCCAAGTCCTAACACCAACATGCAAATTCAATTAGATATGTGAATCCAATCAATCTCACACATACATATGTATGTTCGGTATTTTGATGAATTTAGCCACATTTTTCAATGGCATTGTGTGAAATTCTACACAAGGAGTTCTTTACCCCTGAAATATAATTGCCTATATAGGTTCACGATATCATCATATATCCCCCATAAAACTGTACCTCCCAATATTCGGTATTTTGGTAATTTAAGCCTAATTTAGCAGTTTTTGGTCCAAAGAGGAAAACACCATTAAACAATTTTGTTTACCAGAGCAATTGTTCCTTTTAAAGGTTAACACTTTTAGATTTCGTTATTTATACCCTACAGGGTATTATGTCTTTGTGCATTGGTTTGTAACAGACAAAAGGAAACGAGATAGACCCATAGTTCCTTTTGATGATCTGCATAGAATCACATTCTGAGTCGATTTATGCATGTCCGTCCGTCTGTCCGTCTGTCCATGTATTTTTGTAAACAAAGTACAGGTCGCATTTATTCCCCGATCCAGATGAAATTTTGCACAGATCATTTGTTTGGCCCAAGGACGAACCCTATTGAGATAATCGGTAAAAATTTAAATATAGCTCCCATATATATCTTCGTCCGATTTGCCTTTTATTGTGCACCAAACGTGTAATATCAGCCCGAATTGTATGGAATTTTGCACGTACGATCAGATTGGACCTGAAAATAAGTATGCCAAACTTGATCAAATCGGTTCAGATATAGTTATAGCACCCATATATATTGTTCATCCGATTTGTTATTTCTGTCCTCCGCAGCCGTAATATGCAGTCCGTAACAACAATATTTGGGGAAATATATCAAATGCAGCTCAGAAATACCTTTGCTAAATTTTATCGAGATCGGTTCAGATTTGGATATAGCTCCCATATATAACTTCGTCCGACTTACATTTTATTGTGCACCAAATAATATTTCTAATATTTGCCCAAATGGGATGAAATTTGGCAAATACGGCCGAATTGAGTCTAGAAGGTAGTATGCCAAATTTGGTGAAGATCGGTTAAGATATGGCTCCCATATATATTGTTCATCCGATTTGTTGTATTTGTTATCCACAGCCGTAATATGCACTCCGTAACAACGATATTCAGGGAAATATATCAAATACAGCTCAGAAATATCTTTGCCAAAATTTTATCGAGATCGGTTCAGATTTGGATATAGCTCCCATATATATCTTTATCCGATTTCAAATTAATTGTGCACCAAATGATCAATACAAGTCCGATTTTAAAAGATACAAATGCTTCGGCATATTTAGTCCTTTGAATTTTAAATTATAATTATAATCATAGGGTGTATGATTGAATTCTCCCATAAAAACTTTTAATTGTTATGTGGAGCTCAATTAAATTAGCAAAGTTCTGTAGGGTATCATAAAATCGGCCCCGACCGACTTTAGGACTTTCTTTACTGGTTTTTTTTATCAAATTTGTTTCTAAAAACATTTGGTTTCAAGTTTTGTGATATAAATTGAATAAATTTTTCAAATTCTCATTGCAATATTAAGATATCATGATTTTACCCGAATTATTTTGAACCAGTCATTGTTGGAGGTGAGAACTATTGCTTATACTTGCAAAGATTTCGAAAAAAATAATGTTACAATAAAAATTTTATTTATTCTTATCAAAGTTCTTAAAAAACTTAACTATATTAAATCTTATTCAATTAGTTATTTTGAAAATTTTCAAAAAAAAAAAAATAAAATAAAAATAAAAAAGAGATACTTACACTGAGAATATTCCCTTCAATACCTATGTTCTTTTACTTCCCATCAATAATTTATATTGTCCAATCTTTTTAATTTGAATTGAATATATTCTCAATGGAATATTCTAGAATATACTGAATCTGAATCTAAAACTACCAAATACTATTTTTCTGTGAAATACTCAAAAGTAAAGTATTTTTAAGCAACTAAGATAAATATCACGTGATACTGTAAGTAATCTACAATTGTGCGAATAAAAGTACAATAATCTATTGTAAAATATTAAATAAAAACAAATAAAAACAAATAACAACTAGAATTCAAAACAATGTAAAAAACATGTATTTTTATTAAAAAGAAAAAAAAGAAATGGACGCGGTAAGTTTACAATAATTGTGCATTATTCTCACCTCCAACCTAAAAACAAGTAAGCAAAGGCTATAGTCGTACGGGGCCGACCCTACAACACTACAATATGTTCGAAGTGCCCTTATATCCAAATCCATTTGGGAAGATTTCGTTATTGAAATTATGACAAAGAGCCCTGCCCTTAGGTTATTGACCCGGAGAATTTGGCCAATATTTACACACTCCGTAGTGTTGTTAAGTATTCAAAACAATTTCATTCGTTCATTTTACAGCTAAATATAATCCAATGGTCATTCAAATTGCTAGACTTCTGCCCTGTCCTTAACTCTCTTATGATGCGAAATGCCGGGTCGATTAGTTTGCAATTGTGGCCTAGAGCCACTACAAAATTAAAACAAATTAAATGTTTTTAGTTCATTGAACCTCTAAATGTACATCTTAAGAACAATAGGCTTTAATGCCGACCCTAAGCCTACCCCCCAGCCAAAACATCGTGAAGATAGCACGATGATTGCGACATGCATATAATACCCTCAAAACGTAGTGTTGGGGGGTGTAAAAATTTAAAAAATTTACAATTCAAAATTCTAAGTCAAATTGAAAAAATCGCATGCGATAAAAATATATGACAAAAATTGGAAAAAAATGGCACAAAAGATATTCTTTATCCTTTTTTTTTTGGCAACAACACATAGTGTCGTAGGGTATAAATATAATATAGGAAAGTAGTACGTTAGACCTCAACTTATTCAGTTTCATTTGGTTTTTATTATTTAAAAAAAAAAAAGTTCTGGAAAACTAAAACAACAAAGGAACACAAGATTTTTACTCTTCTAAAATTAGACCTAATTTTAGAAGAGTAAAAATCTCCTGAAATCCCTGAAACTATATGTCCATTTAATTATGACTATAGAGAAGCTACATATTGAATTTTTTTCCTCGCCACGTTTTAAATACATCAAAAGCCATGATTTTTACTTTTTTAAAATTTTATCGAATGAAAGCAAATAATGTCGGAAATAGCATAAAATTTTAGAATAAGTTTAGATTTGTTAGAATTGGTCACCTTCGGCACGAAGTATGACCTTCAAACGGCCAATGAAACCGTCACACGC